CCGATTGCGTTTTATCAGCTCTCTACCAAAGCGCCAAGATATGAGAATATTCCCAACTGCTCGATTGGGGATCACGTGGTCCCTGAGCCGCGCTTGCGATACAAGCTGCAAAGAGAACCGACAAAGGAGTCGATCGTCCGCAAGCGTCTCATCGAGCTCTGCTTAGCGTCTCCGCAACGTCATCCTCCTCGCCAAGCGGAAATGCGCTCATCCGCGTGAAATCTGCGCAGGTGTTCTCTTCCAAATTGAGAACGCTCACCATAGTTTGAGTTGCTTCCTCTCTTACATCTAGGCTTTTCACGTAATTACTCACGCAACGGTCTTCCACTCGAAACCGCCGCCGCCGCACCATTGTCAGAGAGTTGTCCTCGAGCAAACACGGCTGGCTACGAGGGCTTCGATTGCGACAGGGTTGTCACAGAAGAAAAGGCTGCACAATCGCTGCCTCGTTAAACCTTGCGACCCCCGGTGATTTTTTTTTTTATTTTATTTTCTTTTTCTAGATTTCAATAAAAAATGTGTGTGTGCGTGTGTTTTTTTTTCATCTTCTTCTTTTCGCTCGTATATCTTGGGGCGCTCAGATGAAACAAGCTAGTGTGGGTGTACACATTTGTTTTTCCCTTGAGATTCCAGAGGGGACGTTCGGGTTTCTGCGCAATTGATTGTAGGAGAACAAAAGAAGAGTTCGCGTTTGGGATGCAGGTTCTGGTACTGCGACCTCGGGGACCTGGTTTGACACATGGGCATCGTTTCGCACCAGACCAGCAAACACTAATCGAAAAATATTCAACTGTACCCTGTGAGCAACTTTGTTCAGTCTCACCAACTGACCGCAAGCCTCAAGGTTATACATGCTGACAAACAAGCAGCACCACTACAGCAGAGTGTTCGGATCGTTGACAAGCTAATTTTTTTTTTGTCGGGGGGATGTTGGTGTTTGTCGGATTATAGGGACAAGACAATACGCGCGACATCAATCTTTGTCAGAATTACCTGCATCATCAACGTTTTCCTCAAACTTTTTTAATTTCTATATTTATCATAATCATCATCCTCACCCTCTTCTTTTGTTTTGTCTTCTTTACCATCATAACTATCATCACCTTCATCCGCTTCATCCTCACCATAGTTAGCATATAACTCTTCCGCTTCTTCTTCACAAGTGATTATTTTCTTCATTATCATCTTACTTCCGTCATTTTTCTTATTCATTGTCACCATCGTCATCCTTTGCGTCTTCATCCTCATCGCTATTACCTTCGTTATTGTTATAATCACCATAATCTTCTCCTGTACCTTTATCTTGATAATTACAATACATTGATCGTCCTTCCATTTCGAAATAAATATTCATCCTTCCCAACGCCAGGGATTGGATCGTGCACCTGCAACGCCTTACTCTGAGAAATGGCCTCTTACGATTCCCGCACTAGCGTACCCCAAACCGCGCGTTTGCCGCTTGTTGCGGGTAGGAGGACCACAAGAGATGACGTCACTGGTTCACCCTACGATGCACAACAGCGAACACTACGAGCCATATCCCAGCCAATCCCTCGCTTCACTAACAAAACGCGTGTGACTACGCGCTCTGCTGCTATGCCTACACCGGTTATAACGAAGTCGGTTTAACGAAATAGCGGCTACAGCGAAGCGATTCCGATTTCCCCTTCCCTTTTGCACTTCGTTATAACCGAAGTCGGTTATAACGAAATAGCGGCTATATCGAAACGATTCCGATTTCCCCTTCCCTTTTGCACTTCGTTATAACCGAAGTCGGTTATAACGAAATAGCGGATATAGCGAAGTGATATCCGATTCCCGTTGAATTCGTTAACACCGGTCTCAACAGTAGTTGCTGCGGAAACGTGACACTCGCGCTTCAGGGGATTGGCTGTATTGGCTCGTAGCGTCCGCTGCGGTGCGCGTCGAAAGGTGCAACGGAGGCTAATTAAAGTTTTTTTTTTTTCTTTTCTTACGGTAAAGTGCACCTCATTTTTTTTTTCTGTCTCATTCCAGTGCTTCGTGTTCGTTCGAGTTCTGCGCGCTACTTCAGCCCGCAGAGGAAGATGAGTGCGTGCATTGTGCGAGGGAAAGAAGAGCTTGACCCGGTAACACGGGTCTCTGGTCAAGACTGTGCCTTCCCATGCCTTCGGGCAGGGGGAAGTCCGTCGTCCTAATGACTCGTCTCAATGGGCCGAGAAGAAGCGGGCCGGGCCATGCCACCTACGCGCCGCTCGACTTCCCTCGGCGCCGGCACGCGTGAATTACGGGCGCGCTTTCTTTCAGCTTGCAGTCGGCGCCAATTTGACGACGTTTACGAGAGAGCGTAAGGAGCCGGTTGTTCGCTGAATGGATGGCTGCAACTGGAACTCTTATGGGCTGCATACGTGCAAGACGAGTCGCTTAGCACGTAGGAATGAAAAAAAAGAAAGAAGAAACAAGTGCTTCCATTTAGTATGTGTATACTCTCCGTCAGCTTGCTTGCGCTCTCGAGTGGAGTCAGGAGCAAGGCAGGGAAGCCTAGCATGCAGAAACTCGGGACTCAGTGTGGGATGTTCTGTCCGCAAACATTTGAGACGGAGCTCTACGACTAACTACCCGATTGTCTCAGCGAAAAAAAAAAAAAAAAAGTAATTCATTTATATTACTGTAAACTAAATTGAATTGCTGGGATTGTTACTCCTAAAAAATAAAAGTAACGAAAGGGTTACACAATCACAATAAAAAGCGATTGATTACAAGCGCAGTGGTAGTAAGCTACGTATACAAGTCAAAGCTCAGTGTGAGATTTTTTTAAGTTTTAAATTTAGTTTTTTTCCCCTAAAGCCATAAACGAATCGGATACCACTGTTTTATCAATGCCACTATGTTCATTTGTTGCCCCTCATTAAATTCACCGTGTTTAACTGCGCTTAGGATTATATAACCATCTGACCATGTGTTCCTCCTGTTCTCGCTGATCTTTAGATCAGATGTATTTGGACACTAGTTCTTGTCAACTTTTTTATTTTTTTTATTTTTACGTGCAACTTGTTAGTTTGTACCTGTATGTGCATCAAATGTTTTTTTTCTACTCTGCAATAGCCCCAAAGGTCCGACAGCATTCTTAAATAAATGAATGAACTTAAAGGCGTGTTCTCTGCTAGTAAGTCTATCATCGAGTCTCTATAGTGAACTTGTGACGCATTCTAGAACGTGACTAATCGAGACCACGTTTCACATTCTGGACCAATACGCTACCAAGATGGCAATGCCGGCGTCTTTGTTCCCCTAACGCCGTAACTTTAGCCACCGACAGAATAAGAACGACAGGGGAGTCTCTCAGTTGTCCCGCCTCTAGCGCTATGGCTTCCTATAGCTTCGATGGCACTTGGCCGTGTCGTCAGCTTCGAGCTTGCACCCGTAGTCAATGCACGGCGGAAGGCAGTCGAGAGCGTGTGGATGCCCCGGCGTTCTCATTCTTTCGGCGACTGGGTCCCATGGGATCTATAAAGCGCGCTGCCGACATCTCGACGGCCATCTTAGAACGACGACTGCGGCGACGGCGCACGATAAAAAGGCAGAATACCTGCGCCTGCCGCTTTGAGGATGGATATCGGGAGTTCGCCGAGGGTTGCGTAACGCGAGAGCCTTGCAGTCGGATTCAAGTTAAGAATGTGCCAAGTAAATGCGGAGCTCCAGTTCGTCTGCTTCATTTATAGGGTTTATGGTGACATGAGAAAGCCGGGCTCTGATTGGCTCTGATGGAAGGATAGTGGGTAGACCTCAAAGCAAGCTGATTTGAGGTCTAAACACTATCCCTCAATCAGAGCCAATCAGAGCTCGGCTTTCTGGAAGTCACCACAACCCCTGCGCAAGTAGCAGACAAACTTGCGCATTGAAGCTTGTACGCGGTGCTCCAAGGCTAGTATTTTATGATGTGTTGCGATAATTACATCCGGTGTTTGTAAATCGAATCGGCGTGCGTCAAACGTTCAAACGTCGATAAAAAAAAGAAGAAAAAAAAAGAAACTAAGCCGTGGTTTATAGGTTTTAAATGTCAAGGAATAATCTAAGCAGTGCTTCACTGAGGGTCTAAATGTTGTTGCACGGCCCTTTTTAGGCGTTTAGGGATGCTTTAATGTCAGAGAAAGCGATGCGCTGGTGTTTAGTGACATACTGCTATTTCCCTCCGGCAATCCCGAGGGTGGGGTGGGGTTAGCCTTTTCTGCCGATTTGATGTCGCAACAGCCCGTCGAACACAAGGACTGCGCGCATCTTCGCGGTGACTTTGCTGCCGCTCTGCGCGGAGAGAAAGCACTCCGCAGTCCGCGAACGCGTTCCCTGTGCCTCGAATCTCCCGATAACGGTCGCGCAGTGCAGCAGTCACGCGAGCGCCTGTGCGTGGTGCACGTTTGTGGTGTGTTTCCGAACAGTGCACACACGCGGACGAGGCGTGTGCTGTTTCGCCGGCGTGTCTCCCCACGAGGCCGTCCTTGGAGGCCGCACTCGGCCCGCGATTTCGGCGGAAAGCGGATCAAGGACGCCGTGCTCCGCATCCCGCGTCCGCCTGGAGCCGTGCCAGTCCGCAGTCCGGCCGGCCAAAGCCTCCGGCGGCCGACCGGACATTCGACGGACCGCTCTCACGCCGCCGCTGCCGTTCTGCATCGTCGCGGCGGCCCGCCTCGCGCCCATAGAGGGAGAACGCATTCTTCCACGCGGGGTCCGCCGCCCCGCGGATACACCCCGCCGCTCTATATAGTGCAACTCGCGGAGACCAAGCACCGCGCAACTTGGAAAGCGGCGAAAGCTGCAGGTACCAGAGGGCCAATCAGAGCGGCGGAGCGGGGGCACGTGACAACGTGCACCGTGAGAGGATGCACCCCCGCGCGAAGAACTCTCGCGTGCAGGTGCCCGCGACTTGCTTACAGCCGCTGTCAGACTGATGAAACATCATATCAAAAGACAGTCTTCAGACACTGTCTGATGGTCACATGTCACATGATGTCGCACGAGGGTCACACGATGGTCACATTTTTTCATACAAAACTTGTCTGTGGACATGCTTGAAGCATACAGATGAATGAAGAAAACATGCTTCCGCAGATATTAGTAGTTCTGTCATCATCTTTTGTATGATGTGCGAGCACAGTGTGACTGGTGCTCTAGGAATGGAACTGAGTACATATCATGCCTGTGCTGGGAATGAGAACGCCGACGGTACAAGGGGGTCTTTTGATGGGGCAGGGCTTCCCAACAAAAGAAACCTACAATAGACGACAGGTAAGTGAGAACAAACACGCCCTTCGAAGACAGGTTTCACGTACCATAGTTCCGACTGCCTCGGAGCATCGCCCCCTCTCCTACGGCCTTCTGGGGTATTTTTGTTTTCCGGTAACTTTTATTATTTTTAAAAGCTTACAGAAATGTGTCGAGCGCGTTTCGGGTTTATTTATTTCAGTAATGTTACCTCGTATGAAAAACTACCTAAGTGACACGTGAATGAGTGTTCAAAGACCAAAGGGAACGTAAACGATGCTTTCAGTCCCACATCAGCAAACTTCAGCGGTAGATCCTTTGTTTTATCCTTTGCGGTTTCTCATCTTGTGTTGTTTTAATTAAAATTGACAGCTCATATTTTGCCGCACAAAATTATAACTAGTTGTCCGTTCAATGTTCATTCCAGCCAGGTAAACACGGCCCTGAGAAAATACTTTCCATGTGGGTTGATCGCCATGCTTGTGACACATAAACGTGTCGATGTGTCCCCGGGGAAAATTTAAATATTCACTTAGCAAAAATAGATCGGCTATCTACAATCAGGCCTTCAGCAGATGTCTAGATGCTTCCACAGTTGCATGATATCAGTTCCTTGGCACTCATCTTGCACTTTACGTTTCATCCTTTCGGTCTGTTCCGCCGTGAAGTAATTCCTCCAGTCACCGACGACTCCTTTCCTCACGAAGTCTCCGCCGAGCGGCCTCTTCAGCATGTCTCCCGCAACGTCCAGGTAAAGAACGGCCCACCTCGGCAGCAGTTCTCTCGGGGTGTCCGTGAGGACTTTGCGCTGATAATTCCTTTCCATCTGGACCAGCCTCCTGAGGTTGGCCACACCAGTCTCTTCCACAATTCGTTCCATGGCTTCTGGACTGTGCCGGAGACTCTCGCCGTAGCTACTGCCGAGGAAGTCTGCAACCTTCTGTATCCAAAACCTGGTGTCCTGCTTCAGGTCTTCGTACGTCATGAACAGCACATTCGGTTCGTCTCGATGCCCGTACCAGGACAGGAGATGATCGAAGTAGCTACCGAAGTCGACCTCACCCAGCATGAAGAGTTCAAAGAACTCCTCGAATGTCCCGTCTTCAAACCGATGCACGGGGAAGTGCTTGAAGTGGTTAAAGAAGGAGACGCAACAGTCGTACGGGTTTCGCGCAACGTAGATGTACTTGGCATGCTTGGAGACGCGGTCTTGGTCGTACGGCATGTGGCTCTTGATGGCACTGCCGGGCCGGGGCAAACCGGTTAGGCCTTCTGCTCCCACCCTTTCTAACCAGGGCTGTCTGCGTAAGAAGTCTTCGACCGACGTGATCGGTGCGCCGTTGGTGTAGATGTAGTGAACGATGTACTGCATCCACGTGGTACCGCATTTCGGGTACGTCACGATGAACACGTCCCCTGGATGTGGTTTGTACGAGAGCGCCGAACGAAGCACTTCCTCTGGAAAATGAGCGGCTGCGTAGTAGGTTCCGACGCTACGGTAGCTTATGGGGGGCTTCACCTGCGTGCACAGAGTAACTTTAAGGTCATCTTGCTTCTATAATAAAACAGAATCATCAGTGTGAATGTTTAAACAGCGAGAGGTTCATTTGTCCTTCAGACTGTCCATACTGGTTCCACGCTGACTACACTGAGGACCATTCCATAGCCAATATCAAATGGCACATGGTTCACCGGCGTCTTGCAGAGGAGGGAAAGTAATGTCATTTATCGGGAGCATCAAAACACGCCGTCCTAATCACTAAGACAGGTGATACTTTACCCTGAAAAGCGGTCACGCTTATAATAAATTGAAATCGAAGAACGGCGACTTTTGCATTTCTGCAGGCCATCTACTATATTGATTTCCCAGCGTGGTTTCCCATAGTAAAATAATTGAAGAAATCCATTGTCGTGTTTCTTTAAAATCTATTGAGTCTATTCTCAAAGATATCAAAGTGGCAGACTTGCCGAATATTCTACTATATTCCCATTTGCTCTTTCCTTGTATTTTTATAATAAAGACTACATACATATACGCAAATACGGACGTTAAAAAATGCACACCTAGAATATTGTCCAACCATGATAAACCGCGATTATAGAGAACGAAGGAAGAAAATATTAGTAGTACAACTATGATGTGCTTTTTTTTTTCATGTTACCTTTTGAAGTTTTCCTATTCTTTTACAATTGACAGATTATTATATAGGATATACTTTAACAGTGATATTCACATGGAAATTAACAAAGAAAAGAATCGCATTTTTTTATACGAAACCTTGCCTTCATGCTGCACGGCTAGCAGCCGTACTGCCCTAACTACATTTCTCATCTACACCATACGATTGTCTCCACACCGTGAAGGCAGACATACCTTACGCTGTTTAAACACAAACGCCTAATTTTCTCCTTTTTTTTTTTCGCGTACAAGAACAAGACGTTTTTCTACGAAGACAATGGACCTGAAGAACGAACTTACACATGAGCCTTGCATTGTGCCTTCTATCCGGTCGGCGAATATCAACAGATGTCGGCTGCTACACAGCACTGCGCGAAGCAAAGATAAGGCAACAGTTCCGGGTATTTTCTGGCTAGGTAAGAAAAGGTCATTTTTGTCCCACGGCCGAAATGAACAGCGGGCAATACAACGGAGGAAAAGTGGCCATTTTATCAAAGGGTCATAGGAGACGACGTCTCCTGTCAGCTGGCCTTATCGCTATGCTCGTCTAGCTTTGTTATCTCAATACCGTGTTTACCTTAGTCTCTTTTTTTCTTCTTCTAAGATAACTGCGGCGAGCGCTGGAAGGAGAAACAAATGGTAGCGTTATCTATGACTGAGAGTTCGAGCATAGTTGGCGCCTATTAGCTATTATTAGAGACACGATGTTGAAGATAAGAGACAGTTACAACTGCTGTAGAAGAGGTAGCGAGAGCTAACCATTCAGACCACGTTAGTGAAGAAACAAGGAACAGCGGTAATGCTATCTACTTCACAAATAGACGATTTCGCAAATCACGTCATAACTGAATTGTAATTTTCAAAATTTTAAAACCTCAGATAAATATTGACTTTGGTTTCATTCCATTCAGATACATTCCTGCTCGTTATAACAGATCCGATATAGCTTTATTGAGCCAAGATTATTGTGGATTTAGAAAGAAGCACTCGAATATAGAGGCTACTCATGTCTCATAAAAAATCTGGGAATGAAAAGAAACAACAATTTCAAGGATATTACTCTAAAAAAAATGTTAATTTCTTTGTTGTCATTATGATTGTAATAGAGAAATCTCCCTATCGCTCTCTCTTTCTCACTGTTGCTCTCACTCTCTTTCTTTCTCTCGCATACAAACGCGACCAGTAAAGCGATAGTGGTAATTTCGAAGTAGCTAATAACCAGCTGTGTTTATGTAAACAGAAGCCTATCGAAGAGCTGTAATCATTTCTGAAGACCCTGAAAAAAAAAAAATGGAAGCAGCCCCAGTAACTAGCAAATGTACAAGAAAGTGCTAACGCATGTTATCGGGAAAGGTGCTTCGAAATCATGAATGACATCGCTGCACTTTATTTTTTAATGACGTCGCGTTCAACCACAAAGAACATCATTTTAAGGATATATTCTTTAATCCTACTGCATGAGTTTAGGTTAGGTTCTTTGTACTCAAACTAAAAAAGAAAAAAAAATTCTTACACACATAAAACAGTTCATGTTCGTATACGTATTCTAAATAAGTTCAATTTCGCGGGGACTCAGTTTTCTTTTAGTACCCTATTGAAAAAACCAGCTTACGCTGGTCCCAGCTTCAAGCTGGGTTATTGCCCCAGCATGCCCAGCTTGGCATGCTGGTCATTCTGGTTGATCTGGTCCCAGCTTCAAGCTGGGTTATTTGCCCCAGCATGCCCAGTTTGGCATGCTGGTCATGGTGGTTATACTGGTCATGCTGGTGGACTTCCCAACCAGTTTAAACTGTTTAAATAAATGCACAGGATAAACAAGCCAAGCTCTTCAGAAATGCCAACTCGGCATCCAATTTATTATTTTCGTACTTGCGGCCGCCTCACATCAACTGTGATGCTACATATCCTCGGCGCTCACACAGTATACTAACCGATGCACAGGCAGTGGTTCTCGGTGCAAAGCCAACAATGTTAATAAAACCAGATTGCTTATCTTTCAACACAAAAAAATATTAGACACACGCCAAAAACAGGCCTAGCTAAAGAAAAAACTACTCGGATGAGAGAAGCGAACCTGGGGTCCCGCCAGTGATGGGGGCGAAGCGGCAACTTGCGTGGTCGGCAGAGGCGAGGAAATCCATGTGGCTTGGCTGGAATTGGCGATACTCCCCGGCACCACCGTCATTCACGAGCACACACACGTTCTAAGACACGAAGCGACGCTTCAGTCGGGACGTCCGACATCTTCCCGCACTGAACGGACTGCCGCTCGCTGTCTCCTCAAAACCCGCTTCGCTTGTATCGTCGTTCAACTAGTCTCCAAACAACGCGCACACAGCCGTCCCTTCGAAAATCTGCCGAAGATAACCAAACGTGTCTAAAATTCTCCGTTCCTACCACTCTCTCTCTCTCTCTTTTCTCGCACACAAATGTAGCTTGCAGCGCGCCTGACGCGCCCTGTCGTCTTCCAAAAACGAGAGGACAAAGAACAGGACGTGGCCTCGTTTTATCCTAAGCCGACCTTGGCGCGCGCGCTCCCAGCAATGCCATTTCGGCTATCTCTAGCCGACCTTGGCGTGCGCGCTCCCAGCATGACCAGCTTGACCGCCACGATTATTTGTTCGACCAGATTCACCAGCTTGTCTCCCAGCATAACCAGCTTGTCTCCCAGCTTGACCACATTGGCTCCATGGAAAACCAGTTTGACCAGTTAGGACCAGACTGGCTCCCAGCTACACCAGATTGAATCTAAAACCAGATTCTAGTTAGACCATGCTGGTTTTTACTTAAACCAGACTGACCAGCTTAAATTCTAACTTGCCCAGCTTAAACCAGCTTGATTGCCAGTTAAACCAGTTTGACTACCACATTGACCAGATTGACCAGCTTAGTTACCAGCTTGGCCAGTTTGATTTTCATGGTGGTTTTTCCAATAGGGTAAGTTTCGTAAATGAATTACGCGGATCAATAGTTGGTAATGCGATACATCATCCGATATATTCAACACACGCAGACTATTGGCCAGATCACTAAGATATTAAGATATTCCGATCTGGGACCGTCCGACAAAACAACTCACCCAATCTAAAAAATAAAAAATACACGAACTAATTACGAGCACAACATCGAGCAGGTTTCGGCCCGGCATTATCGGCGAAATATCTCGATGGCGTTTTCTTATGGCTTTTATCCGTGACCTCGCGAGTTGCGACGCAGGTATCATATCGATTGTGAACGGCAAGTTCGATGGTGTGTGTAAAAAGCTCGGTGGAAGCTGGAAGATGGTAGCCATAGCATGCTCACCTGCAAAACCGCCGAACTTGACTCGCTGACATTTTTCCTTATTACCGCCGATATGAAAGCAGAATAAATCATACCAGTGACGTCATAGTGAGCTCTTGACCAATCGTGGAAGGCCGACCGCAGTATCCGATCGCGCTACCCGAGGTGAAGGGAGAAATTATACTTTCGCTTTTTGGGCCATAGGTGGCGCAATCTACCGCCCGTTGTAAAGGGTTCATCCATCCATCGATTTCTCCGATGAAAACGTGCAATTGCTCGTGGGTTACTACGGTAACCCTCGCACGATGCCCATTCTCTCATCGCGCGACGGCTGCTACGGTAAACTGCGGCCATTTTTATCGCGCGACGATTTTCTGCGCTAACCGTCGCGCTACGGCCGCTCTCCTAGCACGTGTGTTGGCTTTCCGTTTACGAGTACGGGGCCAGCGACGGCGCCGCGTGTACGAAACGAGGAAGAAAACAATAAACCCCAAGCGGCGTGCAAAATGCGTTTCCTCGGACGGACACATTTCCCGTGGTCTCTTTGACGCCTCCTCGGCGAGTGCCTCGTTTAATCGGTGCGCCTTAGCGCGGAGCAGCGCTGTTCCGTAAAAACCAGAAAAAGCTTCAAGAAAAAAAAGTAATGAAATAAACAGGTAAACGAGGAGGTCCGACGTTCAAAAGACGGCCGCCTTTGTAAATTTTCCCCAGCGCGTGCCGCAGCGCGGCGGCTCACTGCAGCAATTGAGGTCCCCGTTTTGTGCGCGCTCTGTCCGTCCCGCCTTAAGATGGACTGCAGCCGACGCTACGAGCCAAAGCCAGCCAATCGGGCGATCGTGTTGGATGACTGTACGCGGTCTTCTTGAAGTTCACGTGACACTGACGGAGAATCGGATTGGCTGGGATAAGTTGTAGCGTCCGCCGCGGTCCATCGGAACCTTTCGACGTTGCATAGGCATATTTCTTAAGCCGGTTGGAAAGACGAGGTGATGTTTTGACGTTTCCGCGAGTAACGAGCGACTATAGAACACGCCCCCAGAAGGGAACAATGCGTTCGCCTAAATTTTTCAATTTTGATTGTTTTTTGTTTTTTGTTTTTTTTTCGCCCAAATTCCGGAGTCGATTAGCGTTTGTGCGATATGGAGCATGCCCCGCCCAAGTCACCTTTCCCGCACAGCCCTCCAAAAACCAATACCCGCACAGGAACGCCTCGGCCATATCAAGAATTAGACGAGTAATGTCACATATGATAGCCATACTATATATATATATATGTGTGTGTGTGTATATGGTCAGATGTAACCTTAACTGCCGAATTCGTTATATGGCCATATATGGTGTCTCTGTACGGTACCCGGATGAGTGAATACAGTCTAAAGGGAAAATGGAGAAGGTGAAACGCCATCCTTATATTGTTTCTAATTATGCGTACATCGGATTTTATTTTTGTCTAATCGCATTCCCAGCTTTGTCGTTCCCTCGCATCCTTCTGTTGTTCGCGACCAACACTGGAGTACGCGTGTGTTTTGTGGGATCCGCATCAAAAGTACATGATTGACGTCGTGACAGGATTATCTGAGAACACGCCTCAAGCACGTCCGGAGCCTGTTTGCTTCACACATATATGTATACGCTTCGAACTTTTCTGCAGACGGTTTTCGTATGACCACCGTGACGGGGCAGTTATACAAGGAATAAAGACGCCACCAGACAGTGTCAGTGAAGACTGTCTTTTGCGCGCGATGTATTCTGCAGCGTGCTCGCGTGGATTTCGAGAGAGCACACGGGTGCTCCCCGTGTTCTGCAGGGAAGCAAACGCGCCGAAGGATACGCGTCGCGAGCAATAGCCTAAAACACGCTCCTCCCTGAGCCGTCGAAAGCGAAGATAAGAATAGAGTCCCTCGCTCCGCTGAGCGCGACGACCGAACGGTCGATGGTGTCACTCTGGCATAAACACCGTCCCTCTTTGCCTGCCGAAAGCCTATATTGTTTTTTGTTTTTGTTTTTTTTTTGTTTTCGCCCATCTCGTACCGCGACAAGTAGAAATTTGATCGTTAAGCTGTCAAAAATGTGCTCCGATACGTCGTTCCAGGTTGAATTCGCGGCGATGCGCCGCGGAGCGGCATCTAGTTTAACCGCGGTGGCGAAGTGATTCCACACATCGAGAGTTCGATTTTCTTAGATTTGCATTTGTTTGTTTGTTTG